TACAGCCCTGACATCTTTATTATCGAAAGCTCCACATTTCAGACATGCTATTGTTCGTTGGTATTCTTTTTACATAACCTGCACCACTAACTGCTCTACTGAAAGCTAGAACTTATCTTTGGTAGTGTATGCACCGGTAATGCAGGTTATAATGCACTGGTATCTGGTTACTATATGATATTCTATATATCTAGTGCTCTAGCAATACTCTTATTAATAATTACTCTATAGAGGACAATGAATAGCAATATCTTGTGAGAGCAAGGAAGAGACAACACCAGCTTCTTTTTGACAATGTACAAAATACATTTCCCACTAGCAATGTAACAGAACCCCCTCTTTTGACTCACAACTGCTTATACAGACACACACACACACTGATCTGTGCATAATGCATGTACGCACAATACAGAGATGACTATGTACATTGCAAGCAGTCACAAAATGGTGCCGACAGCTTGCGGCTTGCTCTTCACTTTTTCATTTCCAGGAGATGAATAATAAAGGCAGTAAATAGAATTAGGAACTTCCGTAATAACAACAAAATGTAAAAAGGCTTATTGCTTTAGACCACAACCTGTGGATTTTTTAGAAGGGAAAGCCCTGTATACACAACCTTTTGAACAAAGTCTGATCAATTATTTTCAATCAGTCCATTTTAAATAAATTAGGAATGTTGAGTAATCAAAAAGCCAAACTGGATAATTTTTGGGTAATAGAATAGAAGTTTAGAGGGTCGTAGAAGCGAATAGTTATAGTTGTGAATTCAGGTCAAAAGCCGTTCAGCTGGAGAAGAGATATATTCTCAATTGGATGAACTAGGAGCGCTCAAAGTTTACAGCGCACAGAGGCACTGACGATGCACATATTTGTAGCAGAAGATGAGAGTAGTCATTGTCTCTCTCAAAGAAACATACATACAATATTTAAAGAGACATAAAGATAAAAATATAACATTACCCATAACTGTGTTATTCCTGGGAGGCTATCACCTAACCCGGAGCAGTTGTTGAGCTGCTACTTTGTTTACTAGAATAAAAAAATATTTTAGTCTACAGCTTTCTGCCAAATCTAGCTGCCACCATGAGTCACATAAGGGATGACAAGGAGGGAGGAGAGCAAATGCTTCCCCAGGCCACTAGCATGGGAGGGTTGGCAAGGGGGTTGTAGGCTGAATTCTCAAACCATTCTTCTGAAAACTAAAAAAAAACACAATGTGTGTTAGATGCCTGTTTATACAGTCCTCCAAGAGTGAGACAGCAGGCAGGATTTGTAACCCTGGGTAAGTCTGTGCATGAACTGGTGGCCTGTGCTCTCAATACTCTCCATGTTCGGACTGGTCTACTGGAATGTTTCCTAGTTGACTGCAGTATCTGAGGCTGACCAGGGTGTCAGATGACAATGAATATGTATGAAGTGCCTGTAGGTCTGCAGTGGCTTTAGGGTGAGACGAAACAGTGACCATGCCATTCATAGCACACACTGATAGTCACTGTAGGAAATTGAGTCGTGGAAAACAGAGTTTGCATCTGTTGCACGCAGAAATATGCATGATGCAAAATCATATTGTTCAGGTCATAGTGATGGAGGATGCAGGGATATATGATAACAAACCTCCAGCAGCCTCCACTTGTCAAATTTATTCATCTTGCACATTATCAATATTGACCATAAACACAGAGGTCTACGAGTTTTGTTCGCAAAAAAAAATGTATTTAATTTGTACTTGTCCCCCCGTCCAGTGGCTGCAGTGGTTCTTAGGAAATATAAAGCTAACTAGTTATTGTTGTGCTCTTCTAGGTGAATGATGAACCCTTTATCAAAGGTCATCTTGAATTGGAGTTGCTGATGTGCTTTGAATATAGCACCATTAAGAAGAACCATTAAAAAGGGCTGTCAAGAGGTTAGACATGGCTCTCTATTAGGGATGTGCATGTGGAAAATTTTCGGTTCGGCATTAAGAAATTCGGGACTTCGGCAATTCGGAACTTCAGCACTTTGGGGACTTTGGCACTTCGGGACTTCTCTTGCAGCCGCTTAGTAGATAACTCCCTAATTCCCACAGTATTAGGGAGTTATCTACCAAAAGGCTGAAAGACCTAAATTGGTCTTTCAGCCACATTTACTAATACTAAGTAAAAAGTGGGGGCTTTTAAACAGGGGGAACCTATTGTCCCCCCTGGCCCCCACCCCTGAGCAGTGGGTCGGGGCCCTAAATCAGAAAAATGGGGAAGGAACCTATTGTCCTCTCCCCCGGCCCCCACCCCTGAGCGGTGGGTTGGGGCCCTAAAGTAAAAAAAGGGGGGGACCTATTGTCCTCCCCTCTGGCCCCCACTCCTGAGCGGTGGGTGGGGGCCCTAAAGAAGAATAAGGGGGGGAACCTATTGTCCTCCCCACGGCCACCACCCCTGAGTGACGGGTGGGGGCCCTAAAGAAGAATAAGAGGGGGCCTATTGTCCTCACCCCCAGCCCCCACCCCTGAGCAGCAGCAGTATAGTGAGTAGGGGCATAATTCACTAATACTAAGTAATCTTAGTATTAGTAAACCTGTCAGTCCCTTCATTTACCTGTATTTATAGTGAGTATAGCGAGTAGGGGCATAATTTACTAATACTAAGTAATCTTTACTTAGTATTAGTACATTTGGCTGAAAGACCAATTTAAGTCTTTCAGCCTTTTAGTAGATAGCTCCCTAATACCGTGGGAATTAGGGAGTTATTTACTTATTCATTGCTGTCATTCCATTGACAGGCTAAGTAACTTACATTTTATATGTATGAATGTGTGTTACTTGATTGTTGGAAGTGTTGCAAATGCTTTCATTCTTCCACTGGGTAGGTATATTAGTACTTCGGCAATACTGTGCTTCGGAACTTCGGCACTTTCGGAACTTCGGCAATTCTGCAATTCAGCTATTCGGACATTCGGAAGTATCCGAATGTCCGAATTGCCTGGAATTCGTCCAAATTCACATTCGGAACAAAACAAATTGCACACGTCTACTCTCTATTAGTGGCCTTATGTAACCAAGCAAAACAGAATCATGACCAATAAATTCCATGACTAGTCTTGCTGTTATGCAATCCTGCAAAGCTAATACAATAGGTCACAAGATTTTACTTTTAAAATACACTGGGTTTGCATTAAAAAAATGGAATTGGGGGCACAACTGGCACATGCATTTCTCTGTAGTGGTGCTGATTCTTAAAGGAATATTATAGTGTCAGGTATGCAAACATGAATATCACGTTTAGGTGCCTGGCCGCCCTTGCCCCTGTGGAAAAGGTAGTTTACTTACCGTTTTCCAGCACCACATGGGTCTCCTCACAGATAGCCCTGCCCACACTCCACCCCCTTGACTGAGATTATCAATTTTGATGATCTCAGTCATTCCAATACTTTCACACTGGGAGGCTACTGCACATGCACGGCAAAACACTGTGCTGCACCAAAACACTGTGATACGCCAATTAGCATCTCCTCATAGAGGTGCATTGGATCATGAGGAATGTTCAGCACCGTTTGAGTGACTGCCACTAGAGGTGTTCCTAGGCAGCAACGTTAACACTGCCTTTTCTCTCCAGCTGTAGCTGTCCTTGTGACCTTAGTGCCCCTTTAATCTGTATTATGTTTGCATGTGAAAGTTTCTTCTATTAACCCCTTTATTACTAAGTACTTTTTGCTTGAAAAAAATATTAGAATAACATTTACTTGACACATGGGGTGCAAAGCATATCATATAGCAGTAATTTTGTAGATTGATTGCTGTCCAGACAAACGTAAGCATTTAAGCTATGCAAATTTACATGATTTTTATTTTAGATTTATATGTTCATCTATTATAGAATTCGTTTGGGTAGTTAACAGCTTTACAGAATATACAGTACACCTTATGTTGTTATATTTAAATAGGACCTGAAGGGTTCATGTAAAACCAAATATACCGTTTTTCTCAAATATAATAGGTGTGACAAAAGAAGATAAATAAAAAATGTCAAAACACCCTGCTTATATTTTTTTGTCTAGAGTCCCGATGGCAGTACAGCTAGCTAAAATGATAACAAAAAAAATGGAAAATGAATGTGTTTGTTTGGGCTAACGCCAACATATACTGAGTATTGTGAAATCATATATTTGTAAAAAAAAAAAAAAAAAAACTTTAAAAAAGTAATCAGTTTTTTTGAATACTTATGTTACATTAACAACGAAATGGTAAAGTTAATTCAATTTCCATCCTCCCAGGCTGCTAGAAATGGTATGACCCATTTAAACTTTATTTACTGTTTGGAAGGAGTGGGCAGTTGTAATTTTCAGGACACTTGCAGACATTAAATAACAGAATGGAATTGTAATGGATTGCTTGCATTGAAAGCAGTTTCTCTACAGATTGGTGATTTCTGAAGTATAAACCAAAAAAAGGCAGAAAAGCCAAAGGCAGTTCACCTATATGAGTGGAGCATGCAGTGATATTAATGGACACCTACCCTATGAAAAGGGTCGTCTAGTCCTGATATTGTAGCAGTATCACTTTAAATTCAGCATATACATACATGGAAAGAAAGACATATACGGGAGAGTAATAGTGTAAATCTGAATAATAATTGGTCGTTGTGCAATAATCAAACAGAATGCCAACTCACATGGTATAGAGCCAAAAATGGGATTGGCTCAAATCACTTGCGCTTTAGTACCGTCTGGTGGTACCTGCCCCCTCTAGAAATGTTGATGGGATCCCTCAGAGGTAGGAGATGCAAGGATGATACAATGAAAAATCATATAGTGAAGTAATTCTTGACATTAAGGTGAGTATACTGTATCTTTAAATGAATGCTCACCTTGTTCAGAGCTCGGGTACTCGGCTTCGAGTGTATTAGTGTGAGTGTCAATAAGGGAGACACCTTTCCTCTTTGGAGCAGATTCGATGAGGATCAAAAAGGGAGTTGAATAAAAAAAAAAAAATTATTCCGCCAGCAGGCAATAAAATACAAACAAATGATAAAAAAATACAATAAAATAAAAAACATGGGCTGACATCCTCGGATCTGATCACTAGGGAATTCCCTAAATTCCTCCAGAAAAAAACTTTGTGGCCTGACATCCTCGGATGTCAGGCCACAAAGTTTTTTCTGGAGGAATTTAGGGAATTCCCTAGTGATCAGATAGATTTCATTGTCGAGGGAATTAAATGGATCCTCATCAACAATTATTTTTGGTTTGGAGGCGATTTTTTTCTCCAGATCTGCGGCACGGCGATGGGCACTAGATTCGCCCCTAGCTACGCTAATCTGTTCATGTCATTTTGGGAACATCAATATATATATACACGAGATGGGACTGGGAGGCAAATCTGGTGCTTTATCGTCGTTACATAGATGAAATTTTTTTGATTTTGAGGGGTGATGAAGCGTCCTTACTGTCTTTTCTGTCAGAACTAAATGACAATACATGGGACATTAAATTGGAGAGTAACTACAGTCGCCAGTCTGTTGATTTTTTGGACCTCCAAATATACATGAAGGAATGATTAAAACTAAGACATATTTCAAAAAAGTAGATGTCAATAGCTATATTGAGGAGACTAGCTGCCATTTTTCACCCTGGCTTACTAATGCACACAAAGCACAACTGATGAGGATCAGGCGTAATTGCACAGATAATGAAGTTTTTAACATCCAATCCTGTAAAATTCTTAATGATTTTAAACAAAAAGGCTATAATGCCCAATTATTGGATAAAGCTCAGCGTGAAGTTGCCTTAAAAGATAGAGAGTCACTCTTAAAATATAAAACACCGCCCATTGAGACAGAGGAACGTAACTTAGCATTCATTTGTGATTTTAGCTGTCAAAGCTACAAATTAAAAGGAATTTTCCAGAAATACTGGCCAATCTTAATGAATGACACGTTCTTGAATAAGGTCTTGCCAAATAAGCCTATCTTCACTTATAGAGGAGTTCCTAGTTTGAAGACGAATTTGGTATGTAACCATATAAAAGAACATAATACGATCAGAAATGTTTTCAATCAAAAAAATGGCTTCTATGGCTGTGGCACATGTGGTGCTCGCAGAAATAGCAGCCAAAAAAAGAGATATATAACGTAATTCTCCCCCTATGACTCTCAACTTCAAAATAAACAGCATACTAATTTTAAAATAAATCAACTTATAACTTGCTACTCCAAGCAAGTTATTTACCTTATCACATGTCAATGTGGTTTAAGTTATGTAGGCAGGACCACCAGAGCCCTTCATATAAGAATACAGGAACATATCCGTAATATTAGGAAGGGATTCGACAAACACAGCCTTTCAGCCCATTTCAAACAAAGTCACAATTGTGATCCAACCCAATTGACTTTTATGGGTATTCAAATTGTCAATATTAATTGGAGGGGCGAGGATCCAATGAGGAAGATGGGACAACATGAAATGAGATGGATTTTCAATCTCAATACCATGATTCCCACCGGCCTCAACAGTGACTTTGAAATGTGTCACTTTTTATGAGAATTGGACACTTTTCCAATAAGCATTTATCAATTTTCTATTATTCTAAAATAATTTATCTTATAATATATATTCATTTATATTTAGCAAACCCTATAGAATTTCAAGTGATTATTTAATCACAAGTGTTTCCTGAATAGAATTAGGATTCATAAATAATTAACGTTAGATAGTAATTGAATCCTATTTTATTATTCAATTTACATCAACAGCTATTTTTCTGAAAGGATTAGAGTTGCTTTAATACAATATTAACCAGAACAATAGATTTATATACATGCTATGGATATGTCATTTTTAATTTTTATTTTGTTGAAAATCATTAATTTTTATTATATATTGACATGTATATTTTTCGTTTTTGTCTCCAATACTCCTTTTGCCCTTTCTTGCAAATGAGGGTGCCTTCTAACACATAAGAAATGGGATATGTGTATATACTATACTATACATATTGGCCAAAACATACTGTCTAATGAACACACATTGATGGGCATAATGGGAGGGACAGGCACGAATATATAGTGCTCTGTCATTCTCCCTACTTGCTGCCCATAAGTAAAATGGCGATCGTATTACCGGAAGTGACGCGGCAATGTGCCTGACGTCACTTCCGGTCACGGACGTAATCAGCAAAACGAGATACAAGAAGCCACAATACACTCCCCCCAAACAAGACATCGGATTGGTTAATTAGAAATGAAATCTACCAATGGGGAATCAGACCACCATATTTAAACAGGACAGAACAGAGGAGCAGTGAACACCGACTGAGAAAGCCCTCAAGTAGGGTGAAACGCGTCTCGGAACTAAAGAATACTTGTGGGACACTTTTTATTTTAGTGTGGTTTTTTTATCATTTGTATTTTATTGCCTGCTGGCGGAATAAATTTAATTTTTTATTCAAGTCCCTTTTTGATCCTCATCGAATCTGCTCCAAAGAGGGAAGGTGTCTCCCTTATTGGCACTCACACTAATACACTCAGAGCCGAGTACCCGGACTCTGAACAAGGTGAGCATTCATTTAAAGATACAGTATACTGTCAAGAATTACTTCACTATATGATTTTTCATTGTATCATCCTTGCATCTCCTACCTCTGAGGGATCCCATCAACATTTCTAGAGGGGGCAGGTACCACCAGACGGTACTAAAGCGCAAGTGATTTGAGCCAATCCCATTTTTGGCTCTATACCATGTGAGTTGGCATTCTGTTTGATTATTGCACAACGACCAATTATTATTCAGATTTACACTATTACTCTCCTGTATATGTCTTTCTTTCCATGTATGTATATGCTGAATTTAAAGTGATAATGCTACAATATCAGGACTAGACGACCCTTTTCATAGGGTAGGTGTCCATTAATATCACTGCATGCTCCACTCATATAGGTGAACTGCCTTTGGCTTTTCTGCCTTTTTTTTGTTTTTTACAATTTGAGGTGGGTGTGAGGGACCCCCACAAGAGTGTTGTTGCACCTGCACTATTTACTGCTTAAATATCTTTCAATCTTTAAGCACCTTTAATACACAGTTTTCTTGGTCTTTTTCTTTACGATTTCTGAAGTATAACTGAAAGTACGTACGGTTTTATACAGTAGACTTTGTTCAGCAAAGTAATTAAAAGTAAATATGTGTATACAAAATTGTGGGAGTAAGGAGTTAATGTTTCATCATCCATAGCCTGTTATGTTCTGCTGAACCCAAGAATGCCTATTCTATCTGTAAAACATTCTGCAATGTAAAAAAACACACCGTTTAATCATGTCTTGCTAAGATGTGTCATTCTCTGTTTCTACTTTTGGTTTTTAATTAGTTATTTAATGGACTAAAAATGAAGAGACTTGTTTTTCTTAAAAAAAAAAAAAAAATCAACATTGTTTCTTTGCTTAATGCATCTGCTCTAGGATTGTTATACAATAAAAATGATGTTGATTTTAAGAAGGAAGAATGGGATCTGCTTATGTTTAAAAAAAAGAAACAATCAAGAGTTTAAATTAAAATTCTTGCAACTATTTCTCCATAATAGCAAAACCTAAAAAATGTCAGCAAAGTTTCCTGCAAAGCATTAAAGTTATAGACTTTAAATACCTTACTTACATAATTCAGTTTCATGTTTTAATCCCTTGAGTTTCAGTTCTATTTAATAAGTACAAATAAGATAACACAAAACTAGCAAGAGGAGACATTAAAGAATATCCCACTGTACAAGGTGCTAATTATTAAAGTAAGTAATCATTTTGCACTATAATATGTTTTGCTACCATCACCAGAGGTCTATTCAAATAAATATTGTGAATTAAAATATTGCAATAAAAGGTCAAAATACCCGAGTTGCAAAATACCTCTCAAATCCTCAACTTGGGACTTGATTTAATATTTTTGAATAAATTTTTCAAATGATTTACTATTTCTAGATGAACTTTTAAAATATTTTGTTTTCAAAACATTCAAATAGAAACAAAAACATAAAATATAAATAAAATACATTAATATATTATTATTATTATTATGATATTTATAGAGCGCCGTCAAATTCCGCAGCGCTTTACAATGGGTGGACGAACAGAGGGGTTGAGGGCCCTGCTCAATGAGCTTACATGCTAGAGGGTGTGGGGTAAAATGACACAAAAATGTAAGGATAGTATTAGACTAGTGACAGTTGCAGAAGAGGAATCAGTCAGGAGCTATTAACAGTTTAATTGATACACTTTTATGAAGAAGTGGGTTTTTAACGATTTTTTGAAGGAGTGGAGACTGGGTGAGCATCTAACGGAGGAGGGAAGCGAGTTCCATATAAAAAAAAAAATATTAAATAAGGTAAAAAGTTTATCCAGAAACATTACATCTTTCAAAATGCTTATGCAAACAAATATTAAATTGAGGCCTTGGTTACTTTTATTTGACTAATTTTGGTTATCAATTCAGTGCAGTTCATTGTAGGTGAATAAGCTATCACATATTTTATTCTAACATAAAAATATATGACAGATTTTAGAGATGACAAAAACTGAATCACCAGTTACAGTAATCACACAAAGAACCTAAATGTGTTTCCACTACATGGGCATAGTCTTTAAATAGAGTAAATGTGAAACTGTTGTTTTATTTTTTAAAGTGGCAACATACTAAACATCACAGTACGATGCAAATGCTTTATAATCAAACCTTCTTATGAATATGTATTTAATTTCTAAAGATGGAGATAATCACAATTAATACATATTGCAAGTTCTAAGTCTAAACATTAATAATTGAATAATAATAATAAACTACATTGTCCTCGATTTAGAGAGCCAAGCATTTTCCTGTAAAAAAAATTGTTAGATAATGCTACTAACACAGAAGCTGCATGATCCACTCTCTGATATTCCTTTCTAAACTAAGACTATTTCTCCATCTTCAGAATGTTTGCTGTTACTACACCCTGTGTGCTTAAAAGTAATGCAGGAATTTCAGAGTTTTGGAAGATAGCTGGCAATTTTTAATAATTGTGTATTAAATCACATAAAAGTATGCATACTTAGGATGTAGATTTTGTAATGCTGCAAGAGGGAAATCAATTAATTCGTCACAAGGGGAGCTTCCATTGCAGATTGACAGACCATACTTTGTTCTATCCTTCAGCAGTGTGTATAAGTTTTATTAGTCAAAT